CCGAACCGAACGGAACCGAACAGACTCGAACCGAACCCGAACGATTATATATTTATATTTGGACCCGACGGGTCCATTTATTAAATACCCGAAAGTTTTGAGTCGGTTCGGGTTTCTTCAGAACCGAACCGAACTGACCCACGGACAGCCCTAGATCATATTGTTCCCCATATGGATGAGAGTATCTTGGCTATAGAGGGAATAAATTTCGATAATTTTATTAACGTATGATGCCCTTTAATCAAGTTATTAGTATAGCATATCGAAGATTAACTTTACCTTTAATGTTGCGGAGATAATTCGCGATGCATCAATATTCTGTAAGTACTATCCGTGAATATGGAAGTCCATATATTGTACGTAATTTAGGACTCAATAACAAGATGTTCATGTCTCATTATATATTTTTCTTGTACTCGAATAATTTACTATCAAATTTTTAAAAATGTTATGATTTTTATTGGATCGCAATTAATATTTCTCTTCGAGGAAAAATGTGCAAATTAAGGTATATCGTGATCGTCGATCTTTATTGGATCATCGGTTCCCAGATTCGTTCTCCTGTTTTGTAACTATTAGGCCATTAACAATCGGATCACAGACCTGATGACAATAAATTGAGATCATAATCTGCAATTTCGAAAATCAAATTCTACTACCAGCTTCAATATGCCAGAAAATAACCAAAAAAATCCAAACAAAGAACACTAAACAAATCTATAAAGTGAACGAAATTGGAAAATAAATAACATTATATTAGAAAAGAGTTCAAGACAATGAGCCTGAATTCATACTCGATTCAGATACATATTTGGGCAATATGAGAAAACATAATATCCCAGCATGCAAATATGAACTGATGAGGACAAATAAAAGTAAATGAACCCATAAACTAGCAAGAGAAACAGCTAAGATATTGAAGAAATTCACAAGATCACATACCGAAACCGAACCTAATCCATTCATCAATCTTCAATATCTATAATCTCATCTTTTACTCGCCCATCTCATCTCATCCTATCATAGCATATTAAGTATGAAATCAATTCTGTGAATCGTTCTTACTTGTGCCATTATTCTCTTCTTTTTCGGCCAACAATTTTCCAGACTCCTCGTCAGTCTGTTGAGCCTTCTTCTGTGCATCCTTGGCCTTGAGTGCCTGTAACTTCGAGTGATTGTAGTACGCCACGCCCAAGAAAGCCGAGGCGTATCCAAACAGATTGATTGGAGTAACAGTGTCCTTAATCACGGACCAGGAAAAAGCAATTAAGAGCCAATCTTTAACCACACCAGCAACATTCATGGTCAATGCAGATGTCTTCCCAACGAGCAAGAACACTGCGAGGTTCAGCGCAAACGCGCAGAAAGAATTGGTCCCAAAAATCAGGAAATCAAAATGGAAGCTGGAGGTCTCCTTCAAAAGAGGAAACTCGACGAAAATCCAAGGGATGAACAAGAAAACCAAGCAGCAGGGAGCAACATAATAAAGGGATGTAATGGGATTAAGAGTAATTCCCTTGGAAGTAAGCAAGATCTGGATCATGACAAGCCTTGTGGCCTCGAAAGCCACAGCACCCAGTTGAAGAATCACTCCCCATGCGTCAAATTTAGCCTCTCCATAAGCGGCCACGCCAACCCCAATAGAGATCGAAACCATATTTGTCATCGTCTCTGATCTGAAAGTCTCCTTCTTGAAAATCACTCCAATCGAATAAACCGCCACGGGCATAAGAGCCTTGAGCATTTGAATAAATGACACGGAGAGATAAATATAAGCCGAATTCGAAAGCCAAAGCGACACAGAATAAAGCAGCCCAATAGGCACCACAGATTTGATGTACAAATCCCAAGACATAGTCACAGGCTCGACAACCTTAAACACCCGAACAAGAAGATAAGCTAAGGACGAACAAAAACTCATATGAATCATCGTTAGAGAAATCGGATACGGCCAGTTATACATCTTCCGATCTAGAATATACTTGTTATACACAATAACAGTAAACGAAAGGAAGATCCATATGGCTACGTAAGTGTATGAAAGCACGATCTTCTTCAACACTCCCTCGCTCAACTCTCCTCCTTTCCCCATTGCAACTGCAGGTTCGTGTTGGATTCAGATTGAGAAATGAGAATAAAGGGGAAATTTTCTTGGCTTTTTGGTGAATTTTTTGAGGGGTGGAGTGAGGGTTGGGGCGTTACAAACAGGAAGTAGAGAAGAATGGGGAGACGATGAAGTTTATATGGAGCAGTGAAGGCAGATTGATTCTGTGGGATTTGACAAGTGATATATAAAAT